AAAAAGCGTCTATCAAGTTTTACCTTTGCCTTGAACTTTTTGTTTTTCTCTTTCTTCTTTTCCAAGTCCAAGCACTTAATCATCATGGTCACCACACCATCACCATAATCTTTACCATTGCTCTACTACTTGGAATAGTGCTACCCATCTCATGATCACTTTGATAAACTATGTTAGCACATAGGATTTCATCAATTCACCAAAACTAAACTAGAGCCTTCACCGACAGGAGGGTCAGGCGCCTACCATCCCTCAAACCCAATCTACAGTCGACTGGGAGGTGGACGAGATGCCCGCTCGGTCATCAACGCGCAGCGGCAGGAACGCGACACTCGCAATCTGGCGAACCGTTCGGCAGCCCCTGGGAGACATGCTCAACCGCCGATCCAGCTTGAGTACATCATCCCGAGGACCGTCCCAAACCCTCGCAAGAAGCAGGCCTACCGGGACATGCAACATAGCATTTCCTTCTCAAATCTTCTAAGTTCAAGATCAAATGGTTAGCTAAACGCTACTTCCACTGCATGACGACTTGTTAGTAACTATAGTTTTGTGATATGACCAAATCGTTCAAAGTTGTAGAACGTACTGTTATAGGAAAATCCATCAGATAACTTAAGTTGTTTATACCATTGACAGCAAAGATGTGAAGATAAACTATAAATACCAAGTATACTTTGAAGTTCTGAATAAATCGGTGACTGCTAGTATCCATTCAGCTAATACAGAAGATGCAACATTGACCTTTCTTTTTCCGCTAGTTTTTTTGAACACTAGAGTAAATGGCACGTGCGTGGCTATAAAAACAAATTGTTTTGTAATGAATAAATAATTCTGAAATACATATGAGATGTACATGCACCTGAATCATAAGGCGCACACACCGGTCATCATGTTAAAGCATGAATGGATTTTTTTTTTCCTTTATTAGCCATATATCCTGGTATCTCAACAATTAGCATATCATATTGAATCAAAAAAAACATTTTGGACCAGTGAGATACAGAAGCATCTGATTATCTATAGTAGGTAGTTTCTGATGTACAATGAGATAATATTTTTCAAGGCATTTTTGAGCAGAAGAATGCTATTGAATGACAAGGTTGAAATGTTTTTTTTCTCAAGTTATGTTTTTAAGCAAAAGAATGCTAGTGAACAAGGTTGAAATGAACATAAATTGGTACCTCTGGTCTACTGAACAGAATACAGGGTATAAGGGTTGTCAGTTTTATCGAAAATCTAAGTTTATGGCTATGAAAAAAACATTAATCTGTTACATCCCTTTCTCAGTTGTATACCAGCATAAATAGTTTTTTTGGGCAGATTTGTCATATCTCTGAAATATGAAGTAACAAAAATCATTCTTTATATGGGTTGGATGCGATGGGGTCGGCTATCTTTCCACGGGCCAACATTTTGCTGCTCTAAAAATACTCAGTCGTCGCTGCGGCAACATGCAATAATATTATGTGAGAGAATAAGCTGGAACAAGCTGGGACATAACCAGCCGAACGTGGTGTATTTTGCTTGTAGTATTATATCTCTGAAACTGAAATAAGATTAAAATAAAAATATTGAGCGTACAGGTGTCACATCTCTAAAACATCTATGTAGACAATATTTTTTGAGTGGGGCCAACATCCTTATTTGTGTTGGCCAAATTCCATGTACTCTTACATGAAACACCTCTCGACAATGCTACGTACAATTGGCTATGAGAGAAAACTAGTTCAGGGATATAAACACCAACATTTGGTATGGTTTGACCCTGGGCTTTATTTATTGTCATCGTAAAACTCAATTTTATCGAGAACTGCTTTCGCTTAAACTTGAACAGCGACGAAAGGTCCTAGGAGGGGACGTGGGTATCCTTGGTATAAATACTCTGGTTCTGGTATACTGCCCGTTAACTATTTCATCATCAATTGAATTGTTTTAGAATCCTCTAATAACCAATCTACTGCTAATAATCCTGGTCAAATTATCTTAAGCATATGGTCTTAACATCCACAAGGAGTTGCCCACGAATCTCCCTGGCGTCCAGATCCGGCTGGAGGGCGCCGTAGGACCGGGACCGGCCTCGGCAAGTGCGAGGCGCCTGTGGCTCTCGCCTGCTACGGACTGCGCGGTGGACTGCCGCACGCTAGGTGACGTGTGTGCACGTGCTGAAGGTGACGCTGTGGTACCTGGTGATTCTGGCCGTCATGTCCTTCAACGGCGGGGTTTTCTTCGCTCGCCGTCGTGGCTGACCACGCCCCTGGGTTCCTGATCGCGCAGAGATGAATGCTGATCCGTTGAACAGTGAATTTTGACTTATTTCAGATGATTTAATAGTATTCTGTGAGCGAGAATAAACTGAAACAAGAACCTGAGCAGCCAAACACGCGACGGCCTGCAGTCCACACGGCGAGGAGGCTCCCAAGCACAGGGACGGAATACGGAAGTACGCTCGCTCTTCCAGCCTCCAGGCGCTCGCTGTTCCGTCTCTGTCGTCCCCGCTGGACGCTGGAGGAGACGGTGCGCCGGTGAGGCTCGCAAGGAGAGGAACGACAGGGACGGCGACTGTGGAGGCCCTCGAGGAAACGGGCGGGCGGGTGGGCGGTTATGCGGTGAAAAAACAACGCGAGAGGTGAGCACGGCGCTTGTGGTCTTGTTGTGGATGCATTGGAGGAGACGGGCGGGCGGGCGGTTACGTGGTGGAAAAAAACGCGAGAGACGAGCGCGGCGCGAACAGGTGGGTATAGCGGGCGGGTAAGCGCCGTCGTCGGTGCAAAAAAAAAAAAAAAAAAAAGAGGCAAGAATCGCGGACTACCGTGTAAGATCTTATGTACGCGTAAGATTATACTACGAGTTCACTGCAGATTAAGACCCCGTTTGGCAAGGCTTCTCCAGCGGCTTCAGGAGCCATTTGGAGCCATTTTCTGCCAAACGGGGTAAAATGAAACAGCTCCACCGATGAAGCCCCTAAAAAACGTCTTTCTCTCGAGAGCTTTTGGGGTGGGAAGGAGCAAAAAAATAGTAAACTTCTCCTCCTCCTCCTCCAGGCCCCTAAAAACATGCTCTCACAGGAAGCTATTTTGCCAAACGGTTTACCAAAACCGCTTCAGCTCCACCGGTGGAGCTGTTCGTGGAGCTGAAGCAAAAAAAAAATAGCTTCACTAGTGAAGTAAAGCCCTGCCAAACGGGGCCTAACTCTGAAAACGTTAGATTTAAAGAGACTAAACCATCAATGGTTCAGATATTGGGTGGGTAAGAAATTTTTGGGTGAAAATTATTTTTCAATTCCTTCACTCATTTATAGTAATTAATAGATAGATATAGATGTAGATAGATAATGACACGAGCTCTGCCTTTCGAGCTTCAGCGAAAAAGAAAATAGTTTATATACAAGAATGAGGCAACAAACTTTACTTAACAAGGCGGGACATAGCTCGTTTTCTGAAATGAGCCACCTAGGATGCTCCTCCCCATAGTCAAAAGTGACTCCTACACCTGGGTTTGGAAAGCCTGTATGTACTATAATAAGCACTCTTTTGTTTTCTCTGCCACCCATCAAGCGGAAAGGCTCTTGTTCTAAAAGATTTGTCGATTGCCCCCACAGTTTCTACATAATGTAGATGACCAAGGTGTTGAAACCCCGCCTAAGGTCCTTCATCCTTGTAAACTGATTTTGCTGCAGCTTCCCACCAATCCATGATGCTATTAAAGTTTGTCGGGATGGTGTTTTGTGGAATCGCTAGCTGTTCCAAGGCTAAATGTTTGTGTCCTCGGGAGTGGACTTACCCTCCCTGCCATCAGCCGTTCCTGCATGCTTCCAGATTCGTGCCATCTGTGCTAACGTGTCTGCTCATGTTCGTTGTTATAAGGTAACCGCGACTGGCGATGACGTGTTAGCATGATGCCTCCTTTTTCTTCAGCTCCCATGTGCTTCTACAGTACGTTGATGGAACCTGTCAATGGCCGTAGTTAATGCTTGCTCCAAGCTTCTACCGCGCGGTGCGTGTCCCCGATGCACCGCGAAGCTGTTCGCGTGTGAACACGGCACCACTGGTCCACTGCTGGATTTAACAAAAGAAAAAGAAAAAAAATCCACGATCCACCGAGCAGCTGTGACGCCGGTGACTCGCAGCGCTGCCATGGAGCTTGCGCTGCGCGCTCGGGGCCCTGGCGGTAGAAGCTTGCCCGAGGCCTCGCGCTGCCATGGAGCACTCGCGCCGTCCCACGACCCCGCTGGCCTCGCGCGTCGCCGGCGGCCTCCCGAATCTCAGTAAGGGTTCCTTGTCTTTGGTGGGTTCCTTGTCTTTGGTATTTACTGATTCAAAATAGAACGAAGTCATATGAAGAATGCTTCCAAATTTGAGATTTAGTGAACCAAGAAAGGTTAATTTGCTTGATTTCGTTATAGGACTATTAGGTGCTTTGGCTTTTTTTGCACTGTAGTATTACAGAACTAATGGAATTAGAATTTTCATACACATATGTGCTAACTATAGTATTTTGCGGGCTAACTATAGTATTTTGTGGAGTATCTCCCACAATGCCAATCAACTGGACTTTATCTGAATGTCAGATTGTAGGAGCAGCAACACTTGTAAGTAGTTGATGGAAGCTTTGTAAGCAATTGATTGAGCTCTGTCTCTCAATTGATTAGCTGCTGCACTTGATTAGTTGCTGGATTAGCTGAATTACAAATGTGTATGAACTTCTATGTTTTATTATGCTTTGAAAATGCAATGGAACAGCCAAGTCTGATGTACCTGTGTCTCTACTGTCGTTTGCTGCTGGACAGAAGTCTGGTGTGTGCTGAAGGGCTGCATATTTGAACCGTTGGATCTGATTTGAAGGGCTAGATGCTGAAGGTAAGTTACGCTGTGACTTGCTGAAGGCAAGTTACTGAATCCCTGTCCGCGGTTCTGTGGGGGGCGTGGCGGGCTCTGGACCGATTCTGGCTCCGCCCACGGAGGCTGGGCCGCGCCCTGCGTTCGCAGGGTTTACTTGGCATGGCGTACCGCTTCCCCTCCGGCGACATGAAGGAGTTCCTCGGCCTCGCCGCTGCAGCATACTCTGAAACCATGGCCCTGGCGTCGTACGCCGTCACTCCTCAAGCGCTTCCCTTCGACCACAGCATCACCAGGCAGCATGGTACTAGTGCTTCTCGATTCTTGGCCCTAGTAATTGATCTGCTGATCTCGCGTGGCGTGTTTAATTACTTGGGTTGAGATCTCGCCTACCTAAATAATGGCAGGTAATCTCGCTGTGACCAGAGTCGCGGCGAGCATGCGAAGGCGCCACGACAGGATCTCAGTGCGCACTCGGCGTCCTAGCAAGCCAGCCATGTCAGCTGCAGTAGATAGGTAGGGATTAGCTCTTGTTATTGCTTGATTTGAGTTTCTGGCCTGGGTTGGTGTGAGCACCAAACTGAATAAAAAGGATCTGAAAGGCTACATTGGTCAATACATAGTTTCAGATAAGTCCAATGCACTAACTGAAAGGCTATCATGGAGTTGCTCAGTCCTGTTAATCATTGAATTTTAAGCTTCCTGAACTTGTGGAGATTCTCACTGCATTTCAAACAACAGCTGCAGATTTACACCTTAACTATTGCAGTTGATAAATTTCGTAATCATTTAAAATAGAGGGTCGTTTTAGGGAATTCAACTACTAGGAACTTGCTTAATACATATTTTAATGTTTGATTGATGTGTCGTTTTAGGGAATATCAACTAGAAGGATCTTGCTTAATACAGACTGTATGATTCCTACTTCTTCTTTATGCCTACTTACGTCAGATGCTTGTCATTGTAAATCTCTCTTTCAGGTGACATTGAGGTTCAGTGCATCTGCAAACATATGAGACAATGAAAACGCGAAGAAAATTAAACTCTTGAGGGGATCTATTGGTTGCAACACGTGGAACCAAAACCGTGAAGCTATTTGTAGTATTGTAATCTTGGAACAGCACCTTATATTCATGTGTTTGCCTAGTGCCAGTAATCTTACAACTCCACTTGGTAGTATCAGTGAACCACTTTTGGATGGTCTTGTTCGTTGTCACTTCGTGCTGCTCGGTCAGGTTGACTTATGAGGTCATTAATCCTGCACCCGAAGTGTGATACTATTTGGGATCTTTACATTAGTCTAATGGTTTTGGTCCAGCTCGCTGTTGACAGATGGCATCGATGGAAGCAACATTCTGTATGGCTCGAATACTTATGATTCCTACTGAGGTATATATGCTATTTTTATTTACCACAGGTCATTCTGTATCAAATTAAGTGCCATTAGTCATTACTTGGACATCTGCTAGCTGAGTTATATACCATGTATTTTAATTCCATATATGATTGATTCTTGCCACTAGGTCCCTGAACCTCTCTTTGCTACTGCTGTAGACTGTTAAAGTCAGATCAAACATGAGCACCGTACATAGGCATTCGCATTCATCGGTTTATTATTGTCCATATGGAGCCTTATCTAAAGGGGTTCAGCTGCATTCAGCTATACTCTAATACTCTGTTAGCCCAAACTAACTGATATGGAAAGGAAATATTATGAGAGGACAGGAACCAAATGCGGCTAGTATTGTTCTTCTATTCAAACTCACAAAGGTTACTTGTACATGAGGTAGTACCCTCATTATATAGTCTTTTTTTTTTTTGAGGGAACTGGAGGGGCTTTCGCCCCTACAGGTGATGTCTATTTAATTTTTGAGTAGGCCTATCTGGAGATTGAAGATGGAGTTGAAATCACTAAGTAGATATTCTTTGATAATAGGCCAGCAAGCCATGTAGATGTACTCTCTAGATCATGATCATCCCCATCTATCCTACTTAAGTTCAGAGCTTGCCAATCGAAACTATATTGACGTTGTTCCTTAGTGCCTAGCATGCTAAGATAGGGCTCAAGGAGAACATGCTTCTTCTCTTTATGTGTCCCTGCCACGAACTCGTCATCTTTTTTAATCGATGGGATGAGGTTTCATGAGCTTCTTTGGTGCCGCTGTAATTTTGTATTGGCTCTTTTTGGTACTTCATCACATTTGCATCTTATTATTCCTTGCATTTCCCACTTGCATCACATTTGCTAAAGGTCATGCCTTGCCTCCCTTCGGGTTCTCCTCATCTGTTCTCTTTTATCTGCTCTCCTGCCTTCACTATAACCTGTAGTTTCTTCTTGTGCTGCTCAACCTCCCATGAGTGTAGGCTTGTATTTTGTGGCCTCCCTTGTCTTGATGGGCGTGGTGGGCATGCGATCGGCATAACGCCTCCTCCGTCTATGTTACCAAGTGCTTTCATGTTGTTGTTGCTGTTGTCTTTTGTGTCTCGATAACTGCTAATTCTATCCATAGCTTGCATTGCCTCAAAAAATACTCCCTCACCCAATGTGGTTCGACTATTAGCTAGCTCCACTACCCTCTTTAGGAGCAACATCTTTTGCATGTAATCTGTAGTCTCTGACATTGCCATTGTGCCATTTGCTGATGTACTTGAGTCTGGAGATTGACACGCATCCTTCGTCCATCTGTGCTTGATGTTATATCTTGGTATTTCAGTCTTGTCCAGATGAACGAGCACCTGCAAATGCATGAATCTATAACATCCAGTTCCTTCATATTGTAATAAGTAATGCATTCAAGAAAACATATACCTTTAGTGCGTGCCTGCATAACATTCCCATGTGCTCATACATACCGCATTCACATTCTATCTTATCATCTCCTTGCAAAGTACATTGAATTTCCTTCCATCCTCTTGCCCCATTTCTTTGGTGTGCATCAGTACAAACCTGTCCTCCCCTTCGCGGTCCTTTATTGCATACGCTCCTGACTCATAAAGCTCATTGTAGAACTTTTCATGCATGGCCCTTGTATAAATTGCTTCAGCATGTCTCTCGATAGGCACCCCAATTCTTTTCTTTCTCTGCATCTGCAACACCAACCACAACAATGTAATCAAAGTGCTGCGACAAATACACTCAACATTATTGATTATGTTCACGGCAAACACACTCTTTTTTATTATATGATTCTCCTTATCTTCTTGCTCGTTCCTGTCAATCTGTAACTCTAAAAATTTTCTCACAAACATGTGCATTGGTGCCGAGCGTTGGATGATTGCCTTTAACATGTGATTAGCACTCTCACTGCGTTGAGTACTTGTCATCCCTGCACAGAAAATGTTCATGAAGTATGGCTTTGCCCACATAAAATTTGTTCTCTGTGAGGTTGTATTTCCTAATTAGCTGCCTCCATTTTCTTTCAAATTTGCTTGCTGACACCTCTTCTGTGATCAACTTGTTAAACTCTTTCTTGAATCCCCCATTCTTGCTATATGCGCCTCCAAGCTTCTGTTTTGCATTCCGCAGCACATGCCACCGGCACCACCGATGCCTCGTCTTCTTCATTGTTGTTTTTATGGCAGCCACCATTGCTTGGCATTGGTCTATTCATAAGAAATAATGAAATCAATCTTAACTTTAATGATGTGCAATTTTGACTATAAGAGTAAGTTTCTAATACCTGTCAGTATTGTTATTGGCTCCTTTCCCTCCATTATTTGAATGAAATTTGAAAAGGCCCATTCGAAGTCCTCTGTTTTTTCAGATGTCAATAAAACCCCTCCAAATATTATTGATTGGAAGTGATTGTTAACTCCAATGAATAATCCAAATGGTAGGTTGTATAAGTTTGTGCGATATGTAGTGTCGAATGTTACCACGTCACCGAAGTGATTATAATCAGCTCTATTCTTCCCTGTGCACCACAACATTGACTTGATTCTACCCTCACTGTCTGTCTGGAACTTAATTGCCATTTCAGAATCTTTTTCCTTCATCTCATTTAGCAGTTTCATGGTCTTGCCAATGTCATCCTATATGTTCTCTTGAGCCAATCTTGCACATAGTGTCCGCACCACTTCTTTCCTGATAGGCACTCTTGCCGTGTCACTAGTGACACCTAGTATGCTGCATACTTGCCCTATGCTAACATTATTCTCTCTGAGTTTCTTCACAAAGTCCTTCGTCAGCGGGTCAATCTCGCTGTGTGAGTTCCATTGCTTGTTTTCTCCATAACTCTCAGAGAAAGCATGGTTATGGGTGTCATCAACCCTACTTATATACCATCCATGGTTCTTGGAACGCAGCAACCTAATCATTGCTTTGCAGCCTGTCCTGCAGGAGCTTGCTCTGGGATTGCGGTTCCTACCCTGCACATTTAAAATTACTTCCCCGTAATGCATATTCTTACAATTCTGAAACTCTGAAACAAACTAAACTGATGAAACTGAATGTAAACTGAAATAAAACAGACAGACTCTGAAAGATCAACATATGGCACACTCAGCTTGCTTGTGCTATTAAATATACTTATGTCTTTAGCTAGCTCATCTCTTACCTCGCATGAGCACACAATATCCATCTTTGTTCTATAATTATTGTCATTCATCTTCCCCTTCCTGTTCTTATCCCAAATCCAACCTCCCAGGAGTAAAGGTTGTAGAATTCTTTCGCCTCTTCAAATGAGTTGAAAGTCGTGCCTTGGTAGGGGAAGAAAATTGCATGGCCTGGACGGTCCCGAGCAGTACGCATAGCCCGTGTGATGGCGCTTTCCTCTGCAGGCGCTATCCTAGCGTCTGGTCCTTGGCGACCTCGCTTCTTGCAGTTCCAACAATGCTAATAATGGCCAATTTTGCAACCAGTTTATATATCAGTTACTACAAAGCTTTATCACTCGTCACTTCAGCACTTCTCCATCTCACATACGTTCTGCATTTCCATTTGCTAGGATGAGATGGAAAAGTGCAGATCGATGGTATTTTGGATGTACCTTTTTTTATCAAAAACATTGCGGTTTTTGGACTGTCAAAAAATAAAACAGACATTTGCTAGAACGGCAGGCAGCAATTTTAATCCCTTTTCTGTTAGAAACCTGCTGTCTGTGCACTGATTTTGTTTGATCAAACATCTAATAGAAGAAATGGAGTATGAGTTTTGATTGATAAGAGCCTCAAGGATAGAGTGGTGGAGGTGAGAAGGCAAGGGGATAGGATCATATTAGTCAAACTGGTCGTTAGTGATATGGTCTTAAACGTAATTAGTGCGTATGCCCCCAAGTAGGCCATGATGAGAGTGCTACGAGGCAATTCTGGAAAGACTTGGATGGCTTGGTTAGAGCGGTACCTAGTAGCGAGAAGCTCTTCATGGGAGGGGATCTTAATGACCATGTAGGTTCAACTAGTGCAGGTTTTGAGGTGGCTCATGGAGGTTTCGGTTATGGTAGTAGGAACCAGGAGGGAGAGGATGTCCTAGACTTTGCTACGGCTTTTGATCTGATGATAGCCAATACTTTATTTAGGAAGAGAGAGTCTCATTTGGTGACCTATAGGAGCGGACATTCCTCTAGTCAGATCGACTTTGTTCTTACAAGAAGGGGGATAAACATGCTTGTGTGGATTGTAAGGTGATACCTGGTGAATGCGTGGTTTCCCAGCACAAGCTAGTGGTGGCTGACTTCCGCTTTCTGGTACGAGCTCGTAGGGTTAAACAAGCCAAGATTGCAAGAACAAAGTAGTGGAAATTAGAAGAGGAGGCATCAAAGGTCTTCAAGGAAAGAGTTATTAAAGAGGGCTCTTAGAGGACGAAGGCGATGCAAACAACATGTGGGAGAAGATGGTAACATGCATTCGGAAGGTTAGGGCAAAGGTACTTGGAGTGACCAAAGGAAGTGGATGCAACTTGAAAGACGCTTGGTGGTGGAACGAAGAGGTGCAAAATGCTATTAAGGAAAAAAAGGAATGATATAAGCGCTTGTACCAGGACCAGTGTGCAGATAACATAGAGAAGTACAAGGTGGCAAAGAAGACTGCAAAACGGGAGTTGGGAGAGGCGAAGGGGCGGGCTTACGAGGGTCTTTATCAACGCCTGAATACGAAGGAATGAGAGAAGGACATCTATAGGATGGCGAGGGCTCGTGATAGAAAAACGAGAGACCTCAACCAAGTCAAGTGCATTAAGGATGAGAGGGAGCAGCTCTTGGTGAAGGAGGATGAGATCAGACATAGATGGCCAGAGTATTTTGATAAGCTGTTCAATGAGGAGAATGAGAACACCGTTCGGTTAGACGACTCGTTTGATGACACCAATAGGCGCTTTGTGCATAGGATCCAAGTGCAGGAGGTTCGAGAAGCTCTGAAAAGGACGAAAGTGGGTAAAGCGATGGGCCCGGATGATATTCCGATCAAGGTGTGGAGGTGTCTCGGGGATTTAGCTATAGTATAGCTAACAAAGATGTTCAACAATATCTATAGGTCGAACAAGATGTCTGAGGAGTGAAGAAGAAGCATATTGGTACCAATCTACGAGAACAAGGAAGACATCCAAAGGTGCACTAATTATAGGGGAATTAAGTTGATGAGCCACACGATGAAGCTGTGGGAGAGAGTTATCGAGCATCGACTGCGAGGAACGACGCGGATATCTACAAACCAATTCGGTTTCATGCCCGGAAGATCAACTATAGATGCAATTTTCTTAATAAGACAAGTTATGGAGCGGTTCAGGGAGCAGAAGAGCGGTTCAGGGAGCAGAAGAATGACCTACACATGGTTTTCATTGACTTGAAGAAGGCTTATGACAAGATACCAAGGAATGTTATGTGGTGGGCATTGGATAAACATAAAGTTCCAACAAAGTATGTTACCCTAATCAAGAACATGTACAACAATGCCATGACTAGTGTACGAACAAATGATGGTAACACAAATTACTTTCTGATTAAAATATGACTTCATCAAGGGTTAGCCTTGAGCCCGTATCTCTTTGCCTCGGTAATGGATGAAGTGACTAGGGACATTCAAGAGGATATCCCTTGGTGTATGCTGTTTGCAGACGATGTAGTGCTACTTGATGAAAGTCAGGCAGGAGTAAATATGAAACTAAAATTGTGGCGGCGGACCCTTGAGTCCAAAGGTTTTAGAGTAAGTCGAACTAAAACAGAATACATGTGATGCGACTTTGGCAACGCTACATAGGAGGAGGGAGACGTGGGTTTGGAAGGTCAAGTGGTGCCTAGAAAAGATACCTTCCGTTATTTAGGATCAATGCTGCAGAAGGATAGAGATGTTGATGCAGACGTTTGCCATAGGATTAAAGCAGGGTGAATGAAGTGGCGTCAAGCATCTGGCATTCTCTGTGACAAGAGGGTACCACAAAAGCTCAAAGACAAGTTTTATAGAACGACGATTAGACCCGCTATGTTGTATGACGCGGAGTGTTGGCCTAAAAAAAGACGACATATGCAACAACTGAGTGTCGTAGAAATACGTATGTTGCGTTAGTTGTGTGGTCACACAAGGATGGATCGAGTTCGGAACGATGATATACGTGACCGTTTAGGGGTGGCACCAATTGAAGAAAAGCTTATCCAACATCGGTTGAGCTGGTTTGGCCATGTCCAAAGGAGACCTTCAGAAGCGTCAGTGCGTTGTGAAGTTCTAAGTCGAGATAGCAATGTGAAAAGAGGTAGAGGAACACCGAAGCTAACATGGGAGGAGGCAATTAAAAGAGAATTAAAGAGTTGGGATATATCTAGAGATCTGTATTTAGATAGGAGTGCTTAGAAAACAGCTATTGATATTTCTGAACCGTGACTAGAGGCTCGTGTTGGATTTCAACTCTAGCCTACTCCAATATTGCTTGGGACTAAAAGGCTTTGTTGTTGTTGTCGTAAACATCTAATAGAAGCAATGATAAAAAAAATGCTAATCTCTTAATGGATCTACTGCATGTATACACCAATGGTATTTAGATGTACCTTTTCTTGTAGGAGAACGATGTAATCAGCGGCTGTGAATGTCGTAACGGATCCAGCTGCACATTCGCTTCCATGCCTTCGCGACCTCTCGGCTGTTGGTCGTCGGCGATGCCTGCTGACTGCATCCATCCGCCTCCCACCACCAGCGGAACGCCCTGCCACCTCGCACCCACTACTCCACCTGATGGAAGAGGAAGACAAGACTCCTTCCTAGTCGCCGATGCGTCGGGTTGCAACTGCAGAAGCTGCGGATCTGCACCCATGGCGTCGCCACCTGATTCGCCTCCGGCCATGTTCGTCGTCGTTCCCTGCTCTCGGCCGTCTCAACTCTCAACTGTGTTTTTGGCGCCGCATCGGTACAAATGCACTTGCATTTCGAATGCGTATCTTGCAAGTAAGAGGTCTGGGCTTATAGTGGTAGCCCCCACAATATCTGACACATAGCAGGATGTCTTTCTGGAAGCATCTCCCATCGTGCCACGTCAGAGGCAACCTGGACTCATTACTTGCTAAACTACTGGCTGTTTTCGAATTTGACAGCTCCCGCCATCTCGAATCTCAAAGCCCAACCTGCTGATGCGTCGTTCGATTAGGGGCGGTACCTCCCGCCCCGCGTACAGAATCCGTGTTCCTGTTCCAAGGTAGAAAGGGAACACAGGAGACAGAGGTATGTCTGGTTTCTGTTGGTCCATTGCATAGGGGGCATAAAGTATGGTGAGGCCATCCTCCAATTGCAAGATTGTCAACCGTTAGGATCTTGTTCTGACTAGGATCCAGACGAAGAGGTTGCATTTGTTTTCTGCACCAGCTTGCCAGATGAGTTTGGTGTTGGAACGCCTGACCTCCCCAAGGAATTGTGCCCGATAGGCTGAGAGCATAGAATATTTCCCATCAGCAGTCGACTCCCAAAGAAGGGCAGGCCTGGTGCAGTGGTGAGAGCTGTCTCACTGAGTCACCAGGTTGCGGGTTCGAAGCCGCCTCTCCGCAGCCCATTCATGTGGGAGCCTCCGGCACTGGGCCTGCCCTTTTTTTAGTTGACTCCCAAAGGATGGTGTTCTCAGTCTCCGGCTGTAGGTGAAACCCTGCAATCTAATCCAGAGAGATACAAATTCCTCAATCTAATCCTAGGTGGCTCGCTCCACTTGTTTAGCAAATATTAAAAGAAAATGTTTCTTGCCGTGCCAGAATGTTAATATTTTATGAGTAAATAAAGTAAAAGATGTTCTATCATATTCTATAGAGAAAACAATTTTCAATCTTTACTCTATGAAAGGAACAATTTAATTACAAAAACAAAACTATAACTAATACATGTAATTTAAAAAGGTACAGATTCAGTAAAAAAGAAGAAGGACAAACCACATCAGTTTGGATTTTCTAACAGGAAACACAGGTTTCTCGAGATCCTTGGAATAATGGATGAAGGCATTTACCGTTCCAGAAAATTTTCACATCATGCTGTTAAGGTGCCAATAAGTCACTGATCTACGCAATCCATTGATGGCCCTGAATGAAGTTCTCCGTTGAAAAGTGTTTCACATGCTGTTCTGGTGTCTGACTGCTCCACTCAACCCTTGCTGTGTGGTTTGCACCAGGGCCTCGACTGTCAAATTCTCCATAATAGAGTGTCTTGAGAGCAAATCACCTCGCCATGGAAGCCACCCCTCCGGCCTGACAACTTTCCCCAAATAACAGCTGACATACAATGTCCTGGCATACTCCTTCCATGGCCGCCCCAAATACAGCCTGTATGACTGTGGCTTTGTCCGAAACAATTCCACAAACTCTTTGTTCCCATCCACAGTGCAATTCACAAACACAAACCCTGTCGTCTGCCCCGGATCGATCCTCCCACTAGCCGCCACCACATTTCGTGCGCGCTTCTGATCTCCCTCGGACCATGGTACAGTCTTAATCACACATTCCTCAAACACCGCTGCGGCATTCCCAAATATAAAATCCACTGTCCCTAATTCCCTATAATAAGGCACCTGTGGTAGAACTGCCGCATTGTGTACAGGGTATCCTGATGCCCACGGAACTCTACATTCTCCAGCGCTGACCGATCACTATCTGAACGGAATGCCATAGCCCGATGAACTCCAGCACCAGCACTGTTCTCAAATGTTATATCTCTCGCGCGGAACCCATCGCTGATCACAGCCACCGTCGCAGTTTCATAAGTTCCCAGCCCATCAATCCTCACGCTCCGGGACGCAGTGATAACAGTAGCCCCTATACCCTCCCCCATCAGCATAAATGTTGGTCTTCTCATACGGAATCACGACATTTTCCTTGTATGTACCTGCGGCAACCACGATGACAAAGTGCCCGGCGGTGTAGTTTGGAGCTGCGTCCACAGCGGCTTGCACGGTCGAGTAGCCACACGGCTCCACTCCGGAATTCGGTTTGCACACTGTGGCGTCAGGGTGGATCCTCGCAGGGAATGCAGCGGCAGGGGCGGAAGAGGGAGGTTTCAGGGCAGCATTTAGGGTTTGTGGGGCAAGGGAATCGAGGAAGCGGGACGTGAGGGGGTGGGAGCGGAAGGCCGGGAGCGAGAGGAGGTGGGAGCAGTCGTACTGGCACTGGAGCGAGGCGGAGGCGAGGTGGAGCGCGGCGGGGACGTCGCCGGACTCCAAGGATGACAGCGCGGCGCGGAGGCGGTGCAGCGAGAGGGCGAGGTGGTCGGCGCAGGGCCGGGCGTAGGAGGCCGGCAACGGGTGCGCCGCGATGGCCGCGCGGAGGAGCGAGGCGGGCGCGGTGGTGTGCTCCTCGGGCGGCGCGGCCGGGAGGAGGACGAGCAGCGCGAGGAGCAGGAGCCCGGACGCCGCCGCGGCGAGCTGGAGGAGGCGACCGCGGCGTGGTTGCGGGTGGTGGTGGGCGCGCGGCATTTGGTGGGCCGTGGGCGCGTGGGTCGCCGCGTCGGAGCGGACGCGGCGTGGCGACGCTATCTTGTGTTGTGTTTGTTTCTTCGAGCCTTCGAGGTGTACTAGATTCGTTCGTTCTCCATTGAAAAGTGGGAAGAAGCGAGGCTGCGATAGTGGTGGCGCATTATGAAAGACGTTTTACGCCACTGTTGGCGTACTCCGTTACCAACTGACAGAGGATAAGCTCATCTCGTCCGGGCGCTTGGCGCGCGACCACGCTCCATGGTTCTTTTTTTGAGTTTTGACGAATCACGCTCGATGGTTCTTGAATCTTGGCTCTGAAGTGATCCGTTAACCGATGGATTTGGTCGTCGGAGGCGTCGTTCATGGGCGCCTCCCTGTCAGGCCATCAAGGTTTCGACTTCTGCTCGGCTTGTTGCCCTTCACTACCACTGCCATGAGTGCTGACTTTTCTGGATGTCCATGCCCACCCATCATTCGTCGGAATGCCCCAGCGGTGGTGCCGTTTGCCAAGAAGAAGAGGAAAGGGTATAGCAAAGATCCGCTAGATGAGGAGGTGTCTGATGATTTCACCGACGAGTTGGAGGAGGACGAGGAGGTGGAAGAGGAGGACTTCGACGCTGAAGAAGAAGAAGAAGGAGGTAATGGATTTTGTGAACTTGGTGATGTTTGTTTTATCTCTTATTATGATGGTTGGGAGTTTCCGGTTGGGACGACTGGGGATTCTGGACCCTGCACTTTGCTCCATTTCTTGGCTCCCCTTATCTGGACAGTTCACAGATGTGATGCATCCCTCCCCTAAAATTTTATTAGTGAGAAGCATTTTGCACATCTGATCCTTTTTCATGTGCTTGTGTCATATCGGTCATTATAAAGCATCCATGGGAAGACGTGCAGTATGATGTAGACTCTTCCCTTTGTTTTAGAAGAATATGCAGTTGTATGCACATTGTTGGCACCCACAAACACCGCAGAATTGAGGGAAGATGTCATTGCTCATTTGCGTAGCCCATTTCCAAACAGTTGGAGGTGCAACAGTCTTGTTAGTAAATTGGGATGGCTGATGTAGTGATGTATTTCCTTCTATAGCGAACATGCAACAATGGCTTATGGGCTTGGGTTATGTAATGGTTCCCATTTACATTGCATCTGTCTGAACATGTGTGCTCTAAAACATACAGTGCTTCAGCAACCATCATACTTGTCTGCTCATGACTTTTGATGTCTCCTGCTCAGTTAGTATTATTAGTTTCATATATAAGCCAAACAGTACTTTGTTATAACAAATAAAGTTACTCTGTTCACCAAATCATGCAGATATAATGGATGGTGACGAAGAGTTTGAGGACGACTATGACTTTGAAGATGATTGTGAGAGTGATGATGAACAGGATCTTTATCTAAGTTTTACTTTACTTGGTTGATAAATACAGTTTGATTATATAAACATTTAATTATGTTCTGGAGGCTGGAGATGGAGGTGTTGGCGGCGGAATATCCCTTGCTGGCACATGGTGGGACAAGGAAGCGTTAGCTTTGGCAGAACAGGTCTCAGTATCATTCGATGATGACTTGAAGATCTATGCTTTCAAGACAGCTGCAAATTTGACCATTAGAGTACGCATTGAGAAGATGTCCACCAGGTATGTATCTATTTGCAGACATATGCAGTTGTTTCCAGAGTCTGTTCATGTATATGTCACCTTATTTGAGCCTGAAAATTTTATAGATGCATGACTGCATGTAGTGGGTTAATATGTTGGTGCATAGGATTTTGAGAGGAGGTTTCACTGTTTCAGTCATCTGTTCGAAGGTTGAGTTTCAGTAAATCCAGATTGCGGCCTATATGCATCAGAACATGCATACGGTAGATATACTGGAAAATGACATATTTTGATGTACTCAAATGTAGATACCAGTAAGCAATGAACTAACTATGGAAGTAAAAGCATAGGCATCGTACTCAGGCGCAACACTATAGAACATATTAATTGGCTCTACTTGATTCAGTTCTTTTTTAGCGTCAACTGTCGATGGTGGAAGAGTGGGGTCGGGGCAGGTTGATATATTCCTACCTGGTTTTCATTAGGCTTGGGTTTGTGCAGCCATAAATTGCTTTTCAGATAACCTTAAGGTCAAAGTTTTCTTCTTTAGACATGATTAATGTAATACCTCTCATCAAGTGCTTGATAAAATAGGTACGGTTCTCCAACTATAGATGACATTGAAGCATACACAATTGCATACCGTGCAAAGTTGGATGATGCAGAGTCAACAGGAAAGATACCAAAGAACATATCGTTGGAGGTAATTTGCCTCTATACACAATACAACTAGTTAAAGATTTCCACTATCTTAAAGAAACAAACATCAGAAAGACTCTGCCTGTAGCTCTACTTGGTTTAAGGCACACACTTTTGGTTAATCACTTTAAAGGTGTCATCCCCTGGAGTGGAGAGAGTTATCCGTATCCCTGAAGAGCTCGAACACTTCAAAGAACGGGCAATGTATGTCAGATACACTACAACAAGCGATGAGGCAGCCACATCTCTGGAAGGCGACGGCGTGCTGAGGCTAGTTTCCTATGGCATGGACCTGCGAGAGTGCATCTGGGGCATAGCCGACGTGAAGATAAACCGGCAGCAGTCTGGCAAGGGCAGGCCCCTGAGCAAGAAGCAGAGGGAATGGAGGCTGCAAACACCGTTTGAGTCGCTGAAGTTAGTCAGGTTGTACTATGAATGTTGAGGTTCCAGTTTTTGAATAATTTTGAGTTTCCAATTGTTGCACTCATTCAGAAGTTTATCCAGTTTTGCTGAACTCCGATAGGTCACTGGATGTGCAGTTTATACTAGTTAGAAAGTTGTTGTACTATCTGTCGCAATCAATGATAGATTTTTCTATTGCTAACAGATAACAACAGAGGTTTAGCCACACAAAGCAGAATGTTCTTTGCCTCACCCTTTACAATTTACAGGCAGTTGATTTATTGTTTGTCTTCTCCTAGATGTTTGTCTAATTTGTTAGTGACTTGTCAACGAGAATGGATTGCTTCATTGCTTGCATTGTCTTTTTTTAGAGGTTGAATTGAAGATGACCTCATTGCTTGCACTGTAAGATGAATGGGCTGCTGAAACCATGCCATCTCTAGTTCCTCTATCAGCCACTGTGTCAAGTGGGGGCTGTCACAGCGTTCGACATGGAAAGAACAAGGGCGGTCTGTACTCTGTTGCGTCGGAGTCGGACGGTGCATGGGATCCCGGGCGAGTAGTTTCAGATACAATTGGTGTTAGTTTTTTTAGGAGGTTGGTTAGTCGATCTTTTGGCTGAATGATGATCAAATGTAACCGGCCCATATATACATATAGGAAGATCGTTGTATTAGGGACATGAAGCAATAGGTCAAAAATCTTTTTTTTCCAGTCTCCTCTCCAGCGTGCTGCGTGCAGTTTCCAATCTACTCCTACTCTCCTAGTCAATAAAAATCACTGTGCATATAAAATTATGGGTCTATCTACACAACTGTCGACAGATTTCGGAACAAAAAATCTGTCGAGTTCTTGACAAATGAGATGATGACATGTCACCATGGAAAACTGACAGATTCAAAAAGAAAAAATATGTCAGATTTTTATAACAAAGACAATATCCAACAATATCCAAAACCCGTTAACAAATACAACTAAAAGTTATCAACTAAGCCTAAAGACTAAAGAGCATAGCAAAGTTGATGCACGCCTGCACTACACATGCATACACATTCATCTTTTTTTTGCTTTTGCTTTTGCTCTTGCGAGGACTAACTAAACTGATGGATGTTGCAGCTGCAGTTCTTCTCTTTTCTTACTATGCTGTGCCTGCCATCCCCAAGCCTCATCGTCATTGTGCCTCTCACCATCACAAGCTCTGACTCCTTTGGTCATGGTTTCTGGCTGCCTCTTCCCCATTCCAATCTGAACATAACATCCTGCAGCTGCAACCACTCCCAATAAGTTATCTATGCATGCAAAACAGCAACTGCAGTTTACTACTGCTCCAACATCCAAGATGCAATAGTAGCGCAACAATAAAACGCACACACGCGTGCAAACATCAAATCTAGCAAAACACATGTACACAAGCAAGGAAGCCCACCAATTTCAGTGACAGGCAGAAGGACAAAACACAGTAAGGCCAGTGTGGTTGGGATTGGACACTGGTTCAAATACTGAAGAGAAAACATATAAAAGCCTCTAAATTGGGCATGAAATCAGCTTGCAGTGTCTCATCCCTATTGATCTGAGCCCCATTTCATTGAAGCATAGAACCGTTAGAGAGACACTTGTTATCAGTCCATTAGCATTCAAAGCTGGGCATTGCCCACAAGGCTTCACAACTTTGCCAAGATGGACTAGAATATCAACAACATAAGATTTGGTCTGACGAGACAACATTAAAATGGAACCATATCTCTAACAAGTTCAATAATGAACCTAATTTCCCGTCTCATTCAGGTAAGGCTAAAAGGAAGTCTAGATATCAATCCATAGGCATTGGAAGATTGAAATTAATGCACAGGTTTCATCATGCTTCCATAATGAGATATGTTTACAACACATCCAATTTGCTAGACCAAATCTTCTACAAGCAATCAAGCACTGACATATACCAACATATGCCATACGAGAAATCATACGGTGATACCACAAAACAAAACTATATCTGTGAGGCAAGAAAGCTACCTCTATAGTCCTTGTACTTAGGACCAACATACGAATCCGGGAGCACAAAGAGAACACCAGGGAGCCCTGTAGCACAATATAAATAAAACGGCATCAGATAAGTATCAGGTCGAATTTTAGCAAAAACAAGGATAGTAATAACCTGCAAACTCTCCAAAGTCATCAAGTGGCCTAGGAGAGCAGCACGTTGCAGTGTGCAGGGCAAAGGTTGTTACTATAGACCACTAGAGACAAAGGGAGCGTAAACTGGAAGACCGATGACCAGTGGAGAGCAGAGACGACACTCGCTCCCTCCATCCGTGCATTCTCACGAACAAGCTGATCGGATGGATCACTTTAAGCATACACTACAGTTATTATTATTATTAGTACGAGTACTTACTACCGCGGTCACACCATCCGTTTATCTGAACTGCACCCACGTAGGAGTACACAGGTACAATACCTACGTGCGTACGCGAGGCTGTCAGCCCGAGTTGCTACGCGCAGCGACGTTGGCTTAACTTTGTACAATACATATGGGTCGGTACGGCCTAAAGAACAACGCCACAACTCAAGACAACAACTTCAGGACCAGCAAATAGTTTACTTAGAAAAAGATTGCAGCTAGCAAACACATCAAAGCTAGCAAACAACTCTAAAAATAACAACTAAAAAAACTCAGCTCAACTACACCTTCTATTGCTCCCTCACACATCAATAATCACCACATCTATAACTGGACAAGTCAAATATAAAAATATATAAGAGGTTTAAATCAACTCTAAATATCTCACATATAAATAAGAAACATCAGTGGACATCCCATGAAAAAACTAGGCAGCATCAATTTGCTTTGAGGCCCTCAAAAGGCAAAAGACAAAAAGCAGCACCAGCAGCTTAATCAGCAGCAGCAGAAAGCAGCAACAACTGCAAAAACAATAATAGCAGCTCAATCAGCAGGCTTTGGGGCTCTCAAAAGGCAAAAGAAAAATATCAGCACCAACAGCTTAATCAGCAACATCAGCGAGCAGCAAAAACTACAACAACAGCAGTAACAACTCATTCAACGGGCTTTGGGGCCCTCAATAGGGGAAAAACAAAAAGCAGCACCAGCAGCTAAATCAGTAGCAACAACAACCCACCCACACACCCACACACACAAAAACACTGACACACACACAGACGCAGAGAAAGAGAGAGCTCTAAACAAACACACAGACGCCCCCACACACAAAACCGCACAAACACACACACACACCAGCAGCGCCAGAAGACACATGCACCCCCACATACAAACACAAACACACACAGTCACACTCACACACACACACACACACACCAAAGCTAGCAACCACACACAGAACACTCACTAAAAAAACTCACATACAACCACACCCACACACACAAACACTCACACACACAAGCACCAAAGTGAGCAAACATATGTACACACAAAAAAAGGACACTCACACACAAACACCCACACCCACAGACACACTCACACACACACACACCCCAAAGCGAGCAAACACATGTACACACAAAAGAAACAAAAATACAAATAAAAAACTCAACTAAAATCAACAAAAAAGTTCAAACTCAAACAGAAAACAATGCAAATCTACACAACCATATAAGTTATCAGCACCCTCAAGGCAAAGGACAAATACACGTGACTGCCACAGCCAAAAAAGTAAAGCCTAACAAAAAAAAACAGATCTACTAAAAGGCAAAGACATAAATGGGCATAACAAAAAAAATCCAAACAACAGCTATAACTCATAAAGCTAAAAAAGTTCACATGCATGAAGGACACAAAGCTCCCAACACCAACACATAAAACATGGTAAACCTGCTAAAAACTAGCAAAGAAGAACTTAAAAACCAACTCATATAACCTGTAGGGCAAGACCAAATCCAAAAACCAACCTAGCGAAAACTAAAAAAAAGGCTTGCCAAAAAAGAGAAGACTAAAAAAAAGGCCTGAGACAGTAAGGTCGTGCGAAGGAACATATTAGTTATATACAAGCATAGAGAAGTGACGAAATATCTCAAACTAAAAAAAATATAAAAAAACAGGTCATGAGCGTTGAGCAAAACATGATGACAAGGCACATGTATTAACAGTTCTACTAGAGTTAGGACCCACTTATAGTACTCAAGTCTCAGTCTTAAACAGTCATCGTAGATTAGCACGCAGAAGTATAAAAGTAAACAGCAGACCTTAACTTGGAGGCACTAACCAACCAAATTTGGTTCACTCAAACCAACAATTCCTAGGGAAATACTATATAACAAAAGAATTAGTTACAAGCAAAGCTTTATTTGAGAAAACAAAGATCCAAACTCATTGTTCTAGTGTTCTCCAATTTTAGCTCAAAAATGATAGGTTCTGAAACTGTTCTCTACCCAATTAATTTGGGTGATGAGCTAAATCTCAGCACATAAGACAAGTCTCATTGCACATCCATTTCCACCTTAATTAATTTGGGGTTTCAAAGCTGAAACATTATCAGTCTAGAAACTAAAATCAGTCATGCGAATTTCTTATATGTGAACAGTAGAGGATATTCTTCTGCAAAGAAAGTTATGGCATGTTTCTCAAGCAACATATTCTTAGCATTTATTCGAGCTTGTGATGAACAGCAACACTGGAAAGAACTTACCTACCCGTACATACAGTGTGATGAATTTGACAATGTTGCCACCACAATTATGAACCACTCGCTAGATGCGTGGGATCATATACAGTTCAAGGATGTTTGCATTAAAGTTGCAAATGTTGAGCTATATTACAAGGCAGTTCACTTCTATTTGGAGATGATATGTGTAATGTTTCCTCACCCATCAAATAATGCTAACCATGCAAGGTGCATCTCGCACATCAATGAAATAGGTAACTATGAAGTGCCAAAGACCATAGCGCCTGAGTGTGTGTGCTTTCGATTTAAAAGGGTCTATCAAACACCTAAAGAATCTAACAGCTTTCAGAACTCCAAACATTAAACTGACATGCGATTACTAGAATCAGAAACACAGAACAAATATCTGCTGCAAAAAGAGAGTTCCCTCCATATAGCACGCACAAAAATAGACAACTATAGGGCTTCAGACCCTCAGTACGGTGCTTCGATCCGTCCCTGATAAGGGAAAGCTAGGGAAGCTACAATCTCAAACACAAACAACCAACTCAACTCAACCCCATTGGAATCCATCCTGGTTGAGCTCCTCACCAAGGTCTTGCTCCCTTGCCTCGATATCGGCCGCACTCATCAATGCTGCGCCCACATCGACGAGCTGCCACCGCGCCAACGCACCCACATCGGTGCCCAAGCAAAGGTAGCATGCACAGCGGCAATAGCTCCTCAAATCAGCGAAAAAAAAGTACATGAACAAGAAACTTACGAAGAACAGCAACAGATCCATCAATCAGTAGCAGCAACAACAGCTCCTCTGCGGCCACCGGAATGGGGAAGCGGCGGCGATGACCGCGCCCCACCCACAGCCCACCGTGGCACAGGGCGAGCAGCGGCGAGGACAGTGCCCCACCACCCAGCACCCGCCGCGGCACAGGGGAACGGCCGGCGAGGACTGAACGGCCTGTGCGACCGCGACAAACTGCGGACGGATTGGGGAAAAGACCGTGAAAAATAACAGGCTCGCGGGTTCGATATGCACCTTTTGGACCTGTTAGCGGGTGTATACGCCTGAGAAGCTGGACGAATCCTAAAGCAAAAAATGAAGGGCCCATAATTCGACAGATAAAAAACAGAAAAAACTGTCAACAGATATATATATAGCATAAATCTAAAATTATAAACACTGAACCAGATGTTAATTAGTCCTTGCTTGTAGCAAGTGAAGTTCCTCGCCAAAACAAAGAAAGAAAGGCAAGTGGAGTATTGTTAAGGCACAAGCTGTAACTAGTCTAGTATAGTCCACAGTTTTAACTAGTACATACATATATACGTTCTATCTAAAATGTGTGCTTGCCATCATCAAGGAGCAGGGCAGCATCTACGCTGATGCAGCTAGTTGTTTCTTGCACTGCACATGTGTGTATGCATGCATCTAGTTGGACCAAGCCCAATGTACTTCTCTCTACCTATAAAACAAGCTCAAAGGTGCATGCATTTGATCCAAGTCTCCTTCACACAAAAATACCACCAGTGTGAATATCAAGAACAGAAGGATCTTCTTGCTCTGCATACAGAACTCTGATATGGCAGGAGCACCACCCTATGTTACTCGATCACCCGCCACCGCTTCCGCCACCAGGCTATGGCACGCCGCCGCCGCCGCCACCACCACCACCCACAGGGTATGGCACGCCACCGCCTTCTCCCTCTCCAACGACGCACGTCACGGTCATCGTCATCGTCGTCCCGATCGTCGGCGTCATATGCCTCGGGCTTCTAGCCGCCCTGCTGTTCGTCTTCTGTAGGAGGCGCCGGCGCCGGCGGTGCCCGGAGGTGGTGGAGGAGGCCAAGGTGGACGACGAGGTGGAGGACGTGGAGGTCGTTGTCACGGAGCACGTCCGCATCGTGGAGGGCGTCGTCGGTGAGGCCGCCGGCGAGGTCGTCGAGGCGTCCAAGCAGGCCGGAGGCGCGTACACCTGCTGCGAAGGCGGCGGCGGCGGTGTTGTGGCTGTGGAGGAGGCCCTGGCGGCGGGGGTCGTCGTCCAGGACGACGTTAAGGTGGAGGAGCACGTCGTCAGGTTCACCGAGGAGTCGAAGCGGGAGCGAGAGTGATCCCTGTTTCGTGCATGCACGGCACGAATGGTTGTGACTCGGCGTGTCAAGCGTGTGTGATGCTGCGTAGCTTCCTAGTTAGTATTTTGGTATATATCTTATCCATGTTAATTCTGCTACTATTCCTTGTACGATTGAAAAGTTAATGTTGTGACAATTGTTGATTGAACTTGTAAAATAAAATAAATAGGTGCACTAAAACAGGCGCAGGCTTGGAACTTCTGTTTTTTTTTTTTAAAAAAAAGCTCAAAGGGATCGGAAGAGCACTGGTCTTAGCATTGCAAGACCATAATAAACGTCAATACAGCGGAACATAACAGCTCACAGAACGTATATACTAACCGACTCACTGGCTTGGAAGAACACTTAAATACCAGAAAATGGAATACCTTTGGTGGCTAATGATTTTCTTGAGGGGCGAAATTGAACCCTCAAGGAATATGTCAACTAGCCAGGTTCTTGATCAATATATCCTCTCTTCCTTCAGCATCTCTTCAATATATAGCTTGTTCTTGAAAATCATCTCATTCCTTGTCTTCTACAGTGCCATGATCATGATATACATACATATATTTATGCGTGATTATTAGATGTCACTATTGGAATTAATTAGCATCCGTAATAGCGTTTGCTATCCACGATCCACTACATAGACATCAATCCGCTACAAACACGTTATCCGCTATTTATTACCTTGTGTCATCGCATAGCGCACTTGCACAAACAGAAACCACCGGTGCTGGCAATAGCGATGACATCACTGGTGTGTCCGATTACAAGCTCAAATGCAATAACTAAAACCACCGAGGCACAGGTGCACACCATTGATGGCATAAAGGGGGATTTGGGGATTGATGGTATTATTCTAATACATACATATATTTATGCGTGATTATTAGATGTCACTATTGGAATTAATTAGCATCCGTAATAGCGTTTGCTATCCACGATCCACTAGACATAGACACCAATCCGCTACAAACCCGCTATCCGCTATTTATTACCTTGGTGTCATCGCATAGTGCACTTGCACAAACGGAAACCACCGGTGCTGGCAATAGCGATGACATCACTGGTGTGTCCGATTACACGCTAAAATGCAATAACTAAAACCACCGAGGCACAAGTGCACACCATCGATGGCATAAAGGGGGATTTGGGGATTGGTGGTATTATTCTAATTTCTATACGAATGGCCTTTTATCATTATCATTGATCCCATTAGTATGCATGCTTAATTGAGTGAGAGATGGATTGCTAACATTCATGCTTTGGTCATGATCAGACTGAATAGTAGTAATGGACATGATGGTTTAGTAGTTATGAGTTAATTCGTGTTATGCATGATGATGACGATGACGATGTTACGATCGATTTAAGTTACACTAGCTTAAGTCTAATTCATGTTAGTTATGCTTCTTTAAGTTTAATTACTCCTATAATAAGTAACTTGTTGATAGGGTAACTATATGAACTTGATATGGTCATGATGAACTTATTTTTAAGTCTGATTACTTGCATAATAGTTATTGTCGATATGTTGTTATTCCTATCCACACGTAACACAGGCTGACAAGGATAATGTTTATACATGCTGGCAAAAATCCAACCTAACTAGCCCCATCCATGTTGCTTGCTCACTGTTGGTTGGATAACTAGCACATATAATTAAGACTAGCCACAATGTTGTGTTTCACCTAAAAGAGGAGAGAGAATATCGAATCATCGAGTTGAACCATTATGCACATCGATGCTGAAACAAAAACACACCACCCGAGTCATCTTCTTTCCTCGGTGTTGAACAAATAAAAAGGTAGTAACTATGTATACTACTACTTTTTTTTTTGCTTATTAACTCTGCATTTATTGCTAGCATGTGTGCACGAACTAGCTTGTTAGAATGAGCTTCTACTCGTATCATAATAAATCTTTACAAAACAAACAAATAATATGCCCAGCCAAGGGCTGACCAGCAAATTTAATTGACCAGGGTATTGTCAAATCCACTACGCTATGACATGCAATGTACACTTCCATTAGTTTTGTTTGCAGATTCTCTCTTCTTCCGCTCCCATCGGTGCACATTTCAAATGTGAATGCATGAGTTATAGACTTATATATACTGATTCAGCTAGCTGGATCATTGTTATAAACATTAGTGAACTTATCTCTACAAAATATACCTCTGTTTTGCTTTGTTGTGCAAAAGGTATAAGTTTATAACTATACTATAATAAATTCAACTTCAGTGAAAGTGAAACATGCCACAAAAATTAATATAACTTTCATATGCATTACCCAACAAACTATAAGGGGTCGTTTGGATCCTCTCATTTTAGAGAAATTGAAATCTCCTCAATGGATTAGGATATTTGGTTAGAAATTTGACATTCCATGACTTCCCAAAGTTCACATATAAGTCTATCTCAAATTCATAGGGTGGAAGATGAAAATCGATTCTATGGATGCTATGTTTCTTCTGTTCAACTTATAGCACGCTCTTCAACTCGCTTTTCTATAGTAGAAATACAACATATAAGTATCTCACTTGTATGGCTAACAATAATATACAAATATATTCCATATACAACCATATTAACTTAATTAATCAGTGCCTAAATTATAATTATTGGAATGAATTTAATTCCAAGGACGGGCCTAATAGTTTTCCTATAGCTACCTACCACATATTTTAGGTCAATAAATAAAAAGAATATAATGGAGATGGATAACAAACGTGTAATATTTTTATTTAACTAAGGCCTGCAGATACATACTGCTTGAGATTATATATTTTGTCAACTATGTATGCAAGTGGGAAGCTTGGATTGTGTTAAGAAAGCAAGCGGGAAGAGCTTGGTGCTAACCGGAGAGCGTTTACATCCACCTTGGATCAGAATTAGCAGTAAAGAACAAATTGGTGCAGTGGCTACCGCGGCACGGAAACATAATCATTAGGGTGCAACGTAAGCTATAGTAGAATATTGACACGTTCTTCAATTGGGAACTGGTCACTGGATGCGAAGTGAGCATGCATAATCTTGTACATGTTGGCTATAGATTTCTGTCTTAAGAGATATGCTGGTCTTAGTCTTTTAAAATGCATGATGCTTATAGAGGTAGCATGTATGTGCGTGTGTTCACACTCACAAGGGTGTGTGTACATTAGTGTTTGTATTTGTTGTATGTATTTTGCAGAAAAGAAAAATGACAACTAGGTCAAAAGAACATATTTATTCCCTTGAAATGTCAGAAATGATTGTTTTGCAATTGCCAATTGCTAGCATATCTCATCCAGACTCATTGACCACGTGAGAAGTTATGCTACGTAATTATAGATAAGAGGCAACATAATTAAGTAAAAATACAGCCACATGAATTTAGTTGACTATGTTCTTCAATCCTTATGATGAAATACCCACCTAGATTTGAGTCTCTGACGTGGGTTATTCGTACGTATATTTAGCTAACTATTCTACCAGTGGTATATGTGGCTTGTATGTCAATAACAAGTATGTGGTTACAACTGATGGTACGTGCATCTGTAGAGGTGGCCGAAACCCAGTCATCTCTGGAAATCATTTTTATAGAATTTGAAAATCGGGCCAAAAATAGCAAAGAAAATTTGTTTTATCCTAGGGGAGTCCCACCAGCCAATCCTTCTGGTTGCATGTCTCAAGATTTTCGGCTTTTCGCACGTGCCGCCTCAGGGGGAGCGAGCTCAAAACCTCAAGCTTGATGCGTTCCTTCGTTACTACTACAGCTCAAAGTCGCTCGTAACTAAGTGTCCGATACAATTCATTTGTACCCACTTTAATAAATATTATAATGCATATTTGAGACCTTAAACGAACTCAAATGAAAAAGTTTAAACTAAATAGTTTTAGATCTCTTTGCTACAACTTAGGTTTAGGTCTTTTCTCTGTCCAAGGTTACTTAAAAAATTCAAGGATTTTGAATTTAAAAATATAAAAACTTTAAATAGAATTTCCGAGCAATAAATCAGTTCAAATGAAAAAAATCATCAACTACAGTGCTATAGATATCTTTGATCCCGGATATGTGCATGCATGGGCAACCATTCTTGTGTTTATCTTCAGTCAACACGACGTTAAACAACATACTATGCACGAACACTTTGCCGTTAAACTCAAGTACAAGTATATATTGCTCGCTAGTCACAAATTCACAATATTCATCAATAAATTAGTAGATTATAGTCCTTCGAAGTATGACGCCACGTATATTCTTCAGCGTCTGCATGTATATAGATATACAGAACATGCACTACCGGACAGAACATCTTTGCCGAGGGCCTGAGGATTTGCCGAGAAAAAATGCTCGGGCACTCGGCAAAGAGTCTTTGCCGAGAGCCTGGTCCTCGGTAAAGACTCTTTGCCAAGGGCCAGACCCTCGGCAAAGACAAGCACACGGCAACAATAATTTTTTGCCAAGGGCGGCAACACCGCCTGACACGACGTCCATCCCCTGCCGTCAATTTTTGCTGAGGGCATCACCGTTAGGCCCTCGGCAAAGACTTTTTAACCATTTTTGAATTTTTTTCTTTTAAAAAATTCTTTGCCGAGTGCCCCTGGCCCAGCACTCGGCAAAGACAGTCTTTACCTAGTGCCAAGCTGGCACTCGGCAAATTTTCAATTTTTTTTTGTTTTTTTGACCCCAAATTTTTTGTTGGGCCCGCCTACATTGTTTACAACTTCATGTTCAAATTTGGTGCTTTTTCTAGTTTTTTTGTTATATTTGGTTGATTAATTTGATTATGTTGAATTTTTATATATAATTCAAATTTGAACTACAAGTGCATGGAATATTGTAATCTAGTGTTTCGAAAAATGTTATTCATGGTATTTGGTGTATATTGAGTCCCTATCCACGAACTCGCATCAAATTTCGCGCATCTTCTTTACGTAACATGACGAGCCACTTGCCGGAAAAGTGTTTTAAAATTATATAAAGTCCATACGAAGTCCAAAAATTACGAA